GATAGGCAGGGATCCGTAGTCAGTCAGTGTGGGAAACACTTGCTCAGGTGGTCGGTTTTTGCTGCAACACGACCTAGAACATCACACATGCTGAGCACATACACTGTGACTTCAGAAGAGAATTTAAGAAGTAATCTAAGAAATAGTGTTCTGTGGAAGGCACTTGAAAAATGTGGCTCTGGCATGATTTGAAACACTAAAAGCTATCTATAGATGAATATTACATTTTCAGAAGGAAATATTCTAAATTAAAGAACTAAATAAGTATATTTACATGTAAATTTGACTCAATGTATGCTCTTTTTAATAAAATCAATACACTTGTGCTTTTTGTTGTTAAAAAGTATTTTTATTTTATTTTCATTGAATGTATTGGGGCAACACTGATTAATAAAATTATATAGGTTTCAGATGTACAGTTCTACAATACATCATCTATATATTGTATTGTGTGTTCACTATCCCAAGTCAAGTCTCCTTCCATTTCCCCCCCTTTACCTTCTCCCTCACCCTACCCCCATTCCCTCTGGCAATTACATTTATGGAACTATGCACATTTTCTAATTTTATATCTCCATGTTCACTGGGGAGACCCTTTCTCTTGTGACTACTTTCAGCCACATGAGTACTCCCACTGTGAAAATTTACCAGTCCAAATGTCTATCTTTGTGTGGGGCAGGTAACTTCTCTGGTAAATGTAGTATAGATCCTTCAGTTTACTTCTTTCACTATTCTTCCATGCAGGCTATGGAATTTCCCTGTGGTGTTTGTTGATAAAATTTTAAGTACCAGAGGTCAGCCTTGTATTTAATATACAAAGGTATTCCCTCACACTGGGTTTACCGGTGTGCCAGAAATTGTAGTTGCCATTTAGCCCCAGGGTGTCAGTTCAGCATCGACAGCAATTTGGTGAATGGTTATCCACTTTATAAATGGCCATTGCCATCTGCTCCTGGAATCTCTTACACTAGATGGAAAGTATGTTTATGCCTGTCCTGTGTTCACTTGCTTTGTGAATGATCTTGTTAAATTGCTGTGTTTTTTCTGATGTCCACACTGAGATAACTTTGGGTAAAACTTGGCATATCTATTGGATTTAAGAGATGACTCCATCTTTGGTATTTTTGCAAAGCAAAATCTGGGGCAAACTTTATCTTTTCTCTCAATCATGTCCTCGTCATTTTCAAAGAAGAGTTATAATACAAGCAATGACAGCGATTTCCTATGCCCTTGTTAGGTAACTGTGTATCTTTTGCTCTATACTTTCCTGATGCTGCCTGTCCTTAACACACTCACAAGTGTGATTTCTAGCATAGGTATCAGGCAACGTCTTTGCTCCCTTTCACTAAGTTACCATTTCATACCTTTCTGAGGTAATTAATGTGTTTTAAATAACCACAATTGGAAAAGCATAGTGTCTGATTGATTTTTGTTGCATCTTTACTGTACAGAAGTGTCTTTAACTTCAGAGGCTCAGAACAGGGGACAGAACAGGAGCCTGTGCAATGGTGATTCATGAGCGTGGATGGAAGTCACTGGTTAGGCAGGTGCCCCAGGTCTCCAGTAATGGCATAAATCTTCAGGGAAGTTCTTTAATGTTGGGCCGTATGCCTGCCTGCCTGTCAAATCACATATAGGCTGGCATATATTATAAATATAGAAATCTGAGGAATGAATAAATTGAAAGATGTCACATAGATGTGAGAATATAGGAGAAAAGCATAGATAGCATTGCTCTCCTTTAACCATGCAAAGCTAAATCTGCATGTTTATAAACACAAGATCATGCACATGCAGCTGCTCATCTTTTTGGAACAAAAGAAAAAAGTGAGAATTGATTGTGTTATACAGTCTATGGGTTTTGACAAATGCATAATGTCATGTATTCATCATTACAGTGTCACACAGAATAGTTTCCCTGCCCTGTGCACCACTCTTTCCTCCCAACCCTCCCCTCATCAGTGATGTCCCGGCACTGCTGTGTGGCCTTTGCACATGTGCACCCATGGCCTTCAAACCTCTTCATTGTCCCTCCATGGTGCTGATTCCTGTCCATCCTTCAGTGACCACACCTGCCTGCCTTCTGCTCCACTCCACACACCTGAGCATGTCCCTAATCTGTAATTTTCCTGTTTTGTTTTGTTTGTTTTTTGCCTTCCATGCACTCATCATCCTTCTCATGTCTATAGCTCTGTAAATAACTGGCATGGAGGTTCATGAATGAGAAATACAGCTGCTGAAGAAAAGGACTATTTCACATCTCACTCATCCCTCAGTCTGTCCTGCAGCTTAGGCATGTTATTCATGTGACCAGCTACTCCGGCCAGGGGCAATTTTTAAATCCTCCTTTTAAAATCTACAACTTGATTTCAATACATGTAAAACAATGACGAACCTAGGGCCAATATAATTTCTTCCACTTTTCCTCCCCTGTGCCTTACAACATCATAGCATTACTTTTACATGGTATTATGTAGAACATTTGTATAACAATGATATTTCTATGCTTTTGCTCTATATTGACACAAAAAGAAAATCATCAAAGATTATTATTTGAGAACAAGATTTATTTTTATTTCATTCCTGAATTTATCTATGTCTGTATTCTAATTATTCCTCTTTCTTTAATTATTGTTTAGAATTATTAGAATATTGTATCTACTTTTTTCAAAGTCTTGTATGGCTTTGCATCTAGAAAACATTTGTTGTTTTATTTGTATAGATCCAGTGTTGAGTCACTAATGCTCATCTGTTCATGGCCCATTGTCATCTCTGCCCCAAGCCTGCTCATTGATTGGCTGATGCCTCCCTTTTATCCCTGTACCACATTCTGTTCTCCTGCTCTTCCCACCGACAAACATGTTCGTGTGTGTAAATAATAGTTTTAAGTTCTGTTATTAGAAAAAGTGTCTTGTGTTTGAATTTATTTTAACTTGTATGGATGGGTTATGTAATTTACCCCAGTTCTGTTTCCTTCTACATATTACGTTTTCACCATGCATTGTGTTTCCAATCCACCCACGGTTCTCTGTGTGCATTTAATCCACTGCTTGGTGTGCATTGACATTTGTTGCCTATGTTTTTTTCCAATGATGAACACCAAGTTCAAAATCCTATATAATAAAAGGATAATATGCAAATCGACCTAACGGCAAAACAACCAGTCACTATGACATGCACTGACCACCAGGGGGAAGACGCTTAATGCAGGAGCTGCCCCCTGGTGGTCAGTACGCTCCCACAAGGAGAGTGCCGCTCAGCCAAAAGCAGGGCTGACAGCTGGTAAGCGCAGTAGCCCGCCTCCACAGCAGCGCTATGGTGTCCAACTGCAGCTTAGGCCCATTCCCCACGGCAAGCAGACCTAAGCTGTCAGTCGGACATCCCCCAAGGGCTTCCGGACTGCGAAAGGGTGCAGGCTGGGCTGAGGGACATCCCCCCCCCACCACCACAGTGCACCAATGTCGTGCACCTGGCCTCTAATGTATTATATAGTCCCTTTACATTTGAATATATTTAAGCCCTTTTAATCCAGTTTATACCTTCTGCTTGAATGTTCAAAATATACCTTATGTGTATGAATTATATAGGTAATGAGTATCCAAATGGACTTATATGAAATTTAGACAGTTATTTGCCTAATAACAGCAATCCTTTGACTAAGACAAGGAGAGCCTACTCATATGTTTAAGCCTTATAGACAGCAAAATAAAGTTTTTAGAAGCTTATAACATAGAGTACAAAAGGCATCATTGGAATAAAAGTAAAATGACTGCAAAAGGACTCTTCGATACCTTAGTCTGGTAATAAGTTGTAATTATACATATTTTAAGACATTATTTTATTTAAAAAAACAATATCCTTTGGAACTTTTCCTTCTGGGATATATGAATGATAAAAAACACTTTTTTATTCTATTATGAATGCATGCATGCCTTGGCATTTTCCCCACAAGGACTTGAGGTATCTTTCTATAAAGACCATGTACCCAAAGGATAATGAATAGAACAGAAATGGAAAATCATTACTTTGTAGAAGAGGAGTTTTCAAGTATCCTATTTAAAAGGAAACATTGTGGGTTCAATTGAGCATTACATTTTTTTTTAAATATATTTTATTGATTTTTTTACAGAGAGGAAGGGAGAGAGATAGAGAGTCAGAAACATCGATGAGAGAGAAACATCGCACAAGGACTTGAGGTATCTTTCTATAAAGACCATGTACCCAAAGGATAATGAATAGAACAGAAATGGAAAATCATTACTTTGTAGAAGAGGAGTTTTCAAGTATCCTATTTAAAAGGAAACATTGTGGGTTCAATTGAGCATTACATTTAACTTTAATCTTCTTTTGAATGGAAAAACATGAAAGTTGGTAGATTGCGTAAGTTTTCATAATCAAAATGGAAGAAACATGCTAGTTCGTTTAGGGCAGATACTCTGTTTCCTGGTAGAGGCACTCTCACTGAGCAGCTCCTAGACATCTATACATGTAGAAAGCAGGTTAACCACTATTAGGATTGACATTGAATGCTGAAATTTATAATCTCAGAAAAAGCAGAGGTTTTATTTAGGAACCAATATTTTATTTACACTTGAGCATGTGTTTGAATAAGGCTCTAGAATTCTACATCACATAGTGCCACATCTTTAGTTTGTAGAACCAGTTTAGTCTCTGGAATTGGCAGGTGGGTATAGATAGGAACTGTTGTTATCTCTGTGTGATCCTGGACACGTAATCTCTGCAAGCTTCAGTTTCCTCATGTAAACGTGATAATTAACATAAGCTACCTTGTAAAATTGTCACTAGGATTAAGCCAGGTGAAAGCTCTTAACATTATTCAGCACATACTAGTACTATATACATTTGTTATTAGGATTAAGTATGATAAACCATGCAGTGTTCCTAGGATGTCCCTGGTGCTTCCAACCAGGTATTCGGTGCTCATTAATGTCCCTCTCTTTCTCTTCCCTGTCTTAATGAACATCCCTTTTCTGCTTCAGGGAAAGCACAAATTGCATGTAGACACTGGAATGGAAGGTGATTGGTGTGGCCTTATTCCTGTTGGACAGCCTTGCAATCAGGTTACAACGACGGGCCTAAAGTGGAACCTCAGTAAGTAAAGCCCTTGCACAGAGTGAGGCTTTCTCTTTTTTATATTTATCTTTGGGATATATCTAGGAGTGGAAATGCTGGTTCATATGGTATATCTCTGTTTAACCTTTCATGGAACTGCCAGATTGTTTTCCAAAGTGGCTTCATCATTTTATATTCCCACCAGCAATTGTATGAGGGTTCCAGTTTCTCTACATCTTCATCAACACTTGATATTATCTACTATTTTAATACACACCTTAGTGTTATCTCATTGTGGTTTTTATTTGATTTTTCCTGGTAACTAATGGTATTGAACATCTTTTCATATGTTTATGGGCCATTTGTATATATTTTTTGAAGTAATGTCTGTGCAGATCTTTTGCCCATATTTTAGTCAGATTGTTTCTCATTTTAGGTTGAGTTGTGAGATTCCTGTATATATTCCAGATACAAGTCCTTTATCAGATATATAACTTGTAAATATTTTCTCAGAATCTTCAGCTTATCTCTTGATTTTTGAAAATTTCATTAACTAAATTCATTTAATTTTGATAAAGTCCAGTTTTTCCTTTTATTGATTATACTTTCAGTGTCGAACCTAAGAACTCTTCATGATTTTATGTACTTGAAACCTAGTTTACTTTCCCAGAGAGGTAGCTATTCTAACTAATGTAGCAAGTTCTTTTCATAATTAAAACTCTGACATTTTATAAGATTAGCTATTCTTATTAAATTTTAAAATGTTTTCCCAGTACTTCCTAACTGTATTAAGTTCTAGTTATACTAAAACTATCTGATTTTAAAAGAAAAATAAATGAAGTGGATCTGTTCATGAAATAATGCTGATGCCAAAAGAGCCATCAGGCCTTGTGAATTAACTCTAGTCTCTTTAAGAATCACAGTAATTTAATCAAAGAGCCTGACTGATTATCAAAGGGATTCTCCCCTGATTGACCAATACCTCTATAGTTATAAAAAGTAAAGTAAGGAACCACGTCGTCATTCTTTTGTAGCATGTAAAGCTTTCAGGTTCCCACAAGGAAATAAATATTTCAAGAAAGAAATAATTTGAAGATGAAAAGATACTTTAAAAGAACTGTCCATGAGCCATTGCTGAAACAATTAGGGGGAAAACGAGATATTTTGAAGCTAGTGTCCAGAGAAGTCATCAGATTTGAAAGGAGGGTGAGAACAGATCTCCAGTGTACAGAAGTATGGGACAGGCCTTGAAGGTGGTTAGCTGAAACTGACATGACCTCCCATAAGAAACTTTCTGAAAACATTACAGCCAAAAACAATCATACTCTTCAGAGTTCCCATTCTTTCCAAGGACTGTTCCTACAGTCGTAAGCCTCTGCCTGAATCGGTAGTGGCCTTACTTTTCAGAGCTGACACCAAGATAGGAAGAGCATTGAGCAAAGAGAAGTGAGGGTTGGCCATCTGGGCAGTAGCCTCCGCTTCCTTTATTGTACAGTAATGGGAGAGAGTCATAGGATGAAACATGCTTCTTCAGGGCTCTTTAGAACACCCTCTTATACACTGGGTACCACGGTCATGTACATATCCTAATTCTGTATCATGAAGTTTATTCCAGGATGGGGGCCTTGGGTATGATGAGGGTAGGGCTTTTAACCTTCCTACCTGGGTTAATGTTTGATCCTGCCGAAATGCTACACACTATTACTTATTTATATATTTACAAATTACTTTGACTTTTGAAATCATTTTTTCTCTTTAACGTTATGAAAATAATTAGGAACTTCATGGAGTATTCAAAGTAATAGAGTTGAGACACAGTGTTTAATTATCTCTGTTAAAAGTGCTAATTAATGGGTCTCCCCATAGGTGATATAACCTCATTAAAAAGTAATAAAAATTATGTGAAATGACATAATGTTGACTTGAAGAGAAGTAGAAGGATTTCTTTACCTGTGTTATAGGCACCAGAAATACCAGAAATGGTATTACCAGACAGCCCCCTAAGTTGAAGGGAGAGGGCTGTCCCCTCCTCGGTTCTTGTCAGTCTCGAGAGAAATAATTCAAACAATTGACAGACAGCAACATTGTAGTAAAGCAAATTTATTAAAGAAGTAAAGCAAGCAAATTTATTAAAGAAGCAAGGCAGGCAAAGCTATCAAAATACATATGGCATAAAGTGCAGATGGGCTCTCAGCTTATCTGAGGAGCCAGCCTCGTAAGGGTTCAAAGGTTTTTATACTTTTCTGTCTATAGGTTTGTGGGGGGTTTTGTTGTTTGTTTTTTAATTCTTTATTGTTTAAAGTATTTCATATGTCTCCTTCCCCCCCCCCCACATTGACCTTTCGCCCTAGCACATGCCCTCACCCCCATGTTGTCTGTGTCCATGGGTTATGCTTATATGCATGCATACAAGTCCTTTGGTTGTTCTCCTACTCCCCCCGCCCCTCCGCCTTTGCCTCTGAAGTTGGACAGTCTGTTCTATGCTTCTATGTCTCTGGATCTATTTTTGTTCATCAGTTTATGTTCATTATATTCCACAAATGAATGAGATCATGTGTTATTTATCTTTTTTAGTATAATGCTCTCCAGGTCCATCTATGCTGTTGCAAATGGTAAGAGTTCCTTCTTTTTTACTGTCTATAGGTTTTAAGATTCTTCTGCCAGATATCTTGGTACAGATTAGCTCTCAAGGTCTCCCTTTTACTTTTTTTGTAGCTTTTGGGGGAATGTTTGTATGTACACCTTGTCATCTTGGCAAATCCTAAGATGGCTGACTTCTTTGTTCAGTGGATGAGATAAACTCCCCTTCGTTCCTTCCCCCTTCACCCCCACTTGCCTTAGCATTTCCAGGGTGATTAAAGCTATGTGTTCTCTGCTTAGGGAGAAGAGATATTAATCATTTGTTCTCACATGTTCTTGGTTGGGGGAGATAAGGTGTTGCTGCAAGCTGCCCAAACTGTTTGGCCTTGTTTAATTTTCTTTTCTTAGTTCCCTGTTCCACTTGCCCTGGAATTTTCCTAGCTTCTTACTATCCTGTTACACCTGAAAGAGCCCCTGTTCTTGTCTGTGAAAGCAGAGGCCTGAGGTCAGTGTCATTTCGTCATTCACACCTCAAAAGTGACTGGTTGGGGCTGGGCCTAGAGAGGAGAATGGCAATACAGTAACTTAGTCAGGGCTGTTACTTTTTGGGTCAAGGAAAGTAAGCAAGGCCTTAAGGAAGCATATCTGAGTCCTCCTCAGGTGGTCTCCAGGCTTGATTTCTTCCAGGCTACACTTACTCTAAAATCTGATGCCACACGTTCTAAAAGTAGTCCGACTTACCTGTTTCAATTTGCAGTATCTCCCATCATGTTCTGTCTTTAATAAAAAAAGTGTGGTAGATGCCTATGTATCCTATCACCCAGAAGTCAATCTTTATAAATATTGTTGATGCTACCTGTATTACAATACTTTATTGCATAATGGTGTGCTGTGAACATTCTGTGATGTGTCTGGTTCAAGATTTTCTGGAGGGTGTATGCAGCTGGCACTAAAATAGCTATGTCCTAGATCAGTGCACTCTCACCTTTAAGGTACACACCATATTGTTCTGACAGTGATTCTACCAATGTGACCTCATCCTAGGGGCATTCAGAGTCCCCTGCTCCAAGTCTCTACCCAGCTCTAGGAATTGTTAGCTTTGATCTTGTTTGCTGATCTGATCAGTGTCAATCATACCTCCATACCTGGTTGTGGACTCTGCTGGAGAGGGAAAGTACCTTCTCTAGTTACAGGTCATGCAGGTGTCCTTGTCAGTGGATTGCTACTGCCTTTTGCCTATTAGCCTTTGGGCTAACTTAGTTTATTCCTTATTATTTCCTAGAAGTTCTTCAGACACTAATTAAATCCTCCTGGCTATTCTTTACCTTTCCCATTTGTGTATGGCCTTTTTGTATCACAGAGACTGTGGTTAGTTAAAGGTAGTCACATTTATGAAGCTTTTTCTTTAAGATTTGTAATGTCTGTGTCTTAAGTCCTCTTTCTATTTCCCATGGTCATAAAGATGTTCTCATATTTTAGTTTTATGTTTTATTTTTAGGTATTTTCTTTCACTTGAAATTGATTTTTGTGTGTATGACATGAGTTAGAGATCCAATTTTGTTTTCCTTACTGATAACCAGTTGCCCCAGCATCATTTATCATCCTTTCTCCAATGATTTGCAGTGTACCGTAAGTTTTACTATTCCTGAGTATGTTTCTTGAATCTGTATTCTGTTCCCTTGCTTACATTCTTCTTGTACTGATACCACCTGTCCTAAAATAATACATCTGTTATCTTACAGTTTTGGAGATCAGAATCTAAAATGGGTTTTAGGGGACTAAAATCAAAGTGTCGGTAGAGCTGCAGTCCTCCTGGGGGTTCCAATGGAGAATCCTTTTTCACCATTTCCAGCTTCTAGCAGGGTGGGGAACCTTTTTTCTGCCAAGGGCCATTTGGATATTTATAATATCATTCATGGGCCATACAGGTCATCAACTTAAAAATTAGCCTGCTTTATTTGGTCAGATATTTAATTAACTCACCCCTAAGCCTGGGCAGGGCCAGCCCTAATGATTTTGTGGGCCTTATGCAGCCCTCGGGCTGGATGTTCCCCATCCCTGCTCTAGAGGCTCCCAGACCTCTCAGCTAGCGATTCCTTCCTCAGCCTTCAAGCTGGCAGCCTGACGTGATCACATCCCTCTGTGATGTCTGCTTCCATTGACACACCTTTTTCTCTGACTTTCACTGTTTAGGAATTTGTTGATCCTGGGACAAACCTGGGTAATCTAGGATAATCCCATTTTAAGATTTTCACTTCAATTACATTTGCAGAATCCCTTCTGTTATGTAAGGAATTTATTCTCAGATTCCAGGGACTACAATGCAGACATTTGGGGGGACCATTATTCAGCCTACTATAGCAGGTCTGTAATTGATGAATTAAAAAATTTTCTGAAATAACTAGAGGCCCGGTGCATGAAAATTCATGCACTGGAGGGGGGGGTCCCTCAGCCCAGCC